CCTGGAGTTCAAGCTCTGGTACTAGCACCAAAAAGAAAAGAACCAAGGGGTAGACGTGGGATCTAAGACAGCACAGTTGGCTGTAATGGCTGTTGCACTCGATTTCCCCACTGGAGCTCAGAGAAACTTGCCAGTGATCTGATTTGGCTCAGTCAGTCTGGGATGTGAGGTCTTGCCTGTTCTCGTCTATAAAGTTTGTCTTGGATAGGACTTCATCCCATGAGCAAGCCCTGGGGCCGGAGAGTCCGAAACAAGCAGCCTGCTGGGTCCCTGTGGAGCCCGCCCTGCCAGGGCAGCTCCAGGATTCCTCTGTGTCCACTGAGAATGGGAAGGAGTTCACAATTCACAAAAATACCCACAGGACACTGCGGGGATGGCGGGAGTCCCCAACCGAAGCAGAGCCAGAGTGCAGGGTTGAAGGCTGGGTCTGTGTTCAGGCATGGTAGAAAGGAGGGAGTTCTGTCTTTCACTCACTGTTATCTCTAGGGTAACAGCCTGGCCACTGTTTTCTTCTTTATGCTTTTCTGGACTTCTCCAAATCGTGTGTATGTGTGTGTGTGTGTGGTGTGTGTGAAGTTTTTACAATCAGAAGAAAATGTGTAAATACTTTTAAAAAAGTAATCTAGAGAACTAGTAGGAACAAAATGGGAAATACAGGGAAAGTTAGAAACAGCCAAGTTGCAGGTAGGATCACCTGACCTCTCTACCCTGGTTTCCAAGATGGGGGTGCTGAGTGGAAGTGACTTGCCCTTGGCTACTGGAGAAGCAGGTTCTAGAACATCTGAGTTCTAACCCTCTGTACTTCTTACCACAGTCAAGCTCGGGGTAGAGTAGGAGATCCAGATTCTGCCCTCAGAGCTGAACAGCCTTAATTCCAGTAGCTTGTCCAGGACACCAAATAAGCCAGGCAGAGGGCTATGTAAAGGACTTACATAAGTGACTGCTCAGTGGGGCTTAGCCAGCCAGGCTGGGTCAGACAGGGAAGGAGGCTGTTAACCCAAGAAAGATCGTAGTCTTGATACAGGAGGGGCACCAGGCCCTCCAAGGCAGGTTTTGAGGATCAGGGAGCTTCAGATACAGGTGTGTGTGTGTGTGTGTGTGTGTGTGTGTGTGTGAGAGAGAGAGAGAGAGAACACACATACATGTGTATGGCAGTCAGCATTCCCTGCTCAGCTATAGAAGGAAAGCTCCCAAGCCTGCACTCTGCACTCTTCCCAGTCTGGGAGAGCTTGGGTACAGGTCAGGGAAGTCTCTTTCCTGGAGACTACCCAGCAAGCTCATGGCAGTGGTGAGTGGGACCAGCTTGTGTGACTGTAGTCTCTCATGGCTGCTGGGAACGGTGGCAGGACACAGGCAGGAGAATCAGAGGAGAACCTTCCACTATGTTTTTATTTCTCACTAAGGTGTAAGCACATGAGGAGGGGATGCAGCAGACAGGATGGCATGCAGTAGGCAGAAGCCTGGAGCTCTGCCTGTCCGAGCCTCAGGCTTCGGCAGACTGTAGACAATCAAATTGTAAGCACGGAGGAGTGTTTTTGTGGGCATTGTGGAGCTGATGCCCACTTCAGGTGCAGTTAATATCAATGATAGAACTGTCCACCCATCAGATCAAGAAAAGCAAGAGTCTTAAAATGGGAAAGATAAAGGTAAGGTGGGGAAAAAATGCCGCAACATTGAAATCATTACCCCTAGGAGGCTAGGACAGGGAGGAAGCCACAGCAGAGCTGGACAAGGAGTAGAATCAGAGCACCCAGAAAAGCCTGCAGTGAGGGAGCATTTGGAGATTGTTCCTTTGGTTTGCTTGCAAAAAGGAAGTCTTGGCTGTGTCTCCACTGAAAGCTGAGGAACCACTCATCCCCACCCAGCCTCCTAAATCTAGATTGCAGTGGAATTGAAGTCAGGGGCCAACTGGGCAAGTCTGGAAGTCAGGGCACCCCTGTGAGGAGATTCAGGGCTGGGCTGGAGGAGATGGGTGCCCCTTCTGTGGGGAGCTTTTGCACCCAGCTGACCTCTAATGTCATTAGGCTCTCCCTGCCAACCCCATTCTCGTCCCCGTCCTGCAGGCGCTGGCGTTCTGCATTGTGCGCACGGCTGAACCAGTTAGCACATGGCTCAGTGGTGTGCGATTCATTAGCTGGCTCTTGAGGGCTTGGGCAGACTGCTGCTCCCTGTGGCACGTGGCTAGGGGCATCACCATCCTTCCTTCCTGTCCCCCTCCGAGCCTAGAAAATGGTGAACCTGGAAGGTCTAGGTCTGTTCCTGTTGTATGTGGTCGGGGGACCCAGCTCAGTTCCTTCTTACTGCTCGGCCAGGAGAGAGGTCTTGAACTTTAAGCCTTGGAGAATTCAGTCTCTTCCAGGGACCTTGACCTTGATCTATCCATTGGGTCATGTGGGGCCCTCAGCTGTCCCTTTTACATTTCTAACCACTGCCCTATGACCCCACCCACAGACTACAGCTGCCACAATCCTACATTGTGCCCCTAAGTAAACAAGCCTGGGACAGAATAAAAGTGTTATTGTAGAGCTACTTGTTTGGGAATGGGTCAGGCCTTGCACCCTCCCTCTGAAAATGGTCCCTTGACTCTGGTTTGCTATACTTGTCCCAAAGAGGGCCTTTGGAGGTGGTGATATGCTCAAGTAAGATTCCATAGGGGAGCCACTCTCTCCCACAGCTTAGTGTGCCTCTGCGTCCCCTCACCAGGAAGGCCTTCTTTGGCCTCACTCTGTCCTCCTCCCTTGCTCTTATAACTCTGGCGGTGTGCCCTTTGCAGTCACCTGGAGGCTGCATCTTAACTGATGTATGTAGGCTGGACATCAGTGGCACATGATTATAATCCCAGCTACTCAGGAGACAGATCTGAGAACCGTGTTTCAAAATCCATTTTTGGTTGGTCAGTCATGGGGCTTGGGTGCTGTCCCTAAGCTCTTTTGCTCAAGGCTGATACTCTAATACTTTGAGCCACAACACCACTTCCGGTTTTCTGGTGGTTAATTTGGGCGCTGTCCCTAAGCTCTTTTGCTCAAGGCTGATACTCTACTACTTTGAGCCACAACACCGCTTCCGGTTTTCTGGTGGTTAATTTGAGATAAGAGTCTCACAGACTTTACTACCTGGGCTGGCTTTGAACCATCATCCTCAGATCTCAGCCTCCTGAGTAGCTAGGATTATAGGCGTGAGCCACCACCACCCAGCCTCAGAGTGCTTCTTGAAGGACCTCTCACACCGTTTTCCCATGCTGTCCAGGGGTATGAGGGACAGCTTGGCTGCTGGAGCAGCCTTGAGTTGGGTGTGCAGGCTGGCCCCTCACAACCTTGTCTGCCAGAGGTTGGTACGCTTGTGTTTATATTCCCTTGTGGACCTTTCCAGAAGTTTCTAGGGCACCTGTGAAGCCATTTTTGTCTGTCTGCCAGTGTCACAGTCTGACAGCATTTCAAAGTGGTGGGCCACCTTGCTTATTATTGGCCAAGCAACTGTTGTCCTGGCGATATCTCTTTCAAGCTGAGTGTCAGCATCATGCTGCTGTCTCTGAGGCCACATTGCTCCATCTCTGATCCAGGTGTCCTTCAGAGATTTCTGTCCCTTCCTCTCACAGGAGCATAGCTCATGCTTGGCCCTTAAACACTGCATGTGTTTTTCATCTGGTGCCTCTCAGGGTCTTTATTTTTTTTGTTTTTTATTTTTGCCAGTTCTGGGGCTTGAACTCAGGGCCTGGACATTGTCCCTGAGCTTCTTTTGCTCAAGGCTAGCACTCTAACACTTGAGCCCCAGTGCCACTTCTGGCTTTTTCTGGTTATGTGGTACTGAGGAATCAAGCCCAGGACTTCATGCATGCAAGGCAAGCACTCTACCACTGAGCCACCTTCCCAGCCCCCTTTATGTCTTCTTAACAAGACTCTTCAGCCCCTGGGTGCAGAGTGGCTATCAAGCCAGAGGCCTCTGTGGAAGGCGGCTAGGAGTGGTGTGGTCCAGAGAAGGGACACATTCCCTTTTACTAAGGGACCTGCAGCGCTAGTTCCAACTCTGGGACAGAGGCTGCCCATGAGCTGTCTGTCTTCAGTGGAGCCCTGGGCCACCCAGCCCAGTGTGATGGCTCCAGCGGGCAGGCCCTGCATTCTCCTCCAGCGCACAGCCCTCCATCAACGTTCTCCACCTTGGGACTCCATATTCTTCAGGCAACTCTCTTAATACACCCAGACTCTTCTCCCTTCCCTGCTTTTCTAGAACTATGGTTTCCCCTAGCAGAGTCTGTCCTCAAAGTCTAGCATGGTGCCTCTCACTCTGGTCTCTTCCCCTGACTCATGGCCCAGCAACCCTAGCTGTAACCTCAGTCAGCTTCTCCCGAGCCCCCTCCCCAGCTGTGGGCACTATGGAGTCTCCCCTGGATCCTCTCACATGGAGCCTTGCAATGTCCTCCCTAGAGCTGGCCCAGCTCAGCTGCTCCTCACTTCTCTCCAGACATTTCCCACTCTATACCCTAGGAAGAAGCCTTCAGCTGGGGGAGGGGTCTTGCCAATGACTGCCCATGGGCAGCGTGCTCAGCCTGGCGATGTAGTAGGCAGCCCGGCGGGGGTGGGGGGGCTGTCTGGACACAGGCCCCTTTGTGCCCAGCCTGACTTGGCTGCTTGGTATGAGGTTCAGCTGCTCCCAGATCCGTACCCCGAGGGGAGAAGGAGGTTTGAGAGAGGTGGGAAGATCTCATCTCTGCTCCCCCCTCAGTATCCCACTCCCAGTAGTGAACAGCAGCCCTTCAGGTGTGCGTACACACCTGGCATCGGCTGCTGGGGCTCAGTAAGGGAGGCTCTGCTGGGCATCCTCTGGCAGCCACTGGTCCTTGCTCCCCTCCTCCGTCAGGTCTGCCTGCAGCTCCTGCCAGCAGAGGGAAAGCCCAGGAGGAAGATGCTTGAAGGGTCCAAGGTGTTCCCACTGGGGGAGGCTCAGAGGGTCAAGCATGGAGGACAAACGCCTTGCTGATGGTGACTTTTCTCCTGTCCCCACAGAATGGTGCTGTGCCCAGCGAGGCCACCAAGAGGGACCAGAACCTCACACGGGGCAACTGGGGCAACCAGATCGAGTTTGTACTGACGAGCGTGGGCTATGCCGTGGGCCTGGGCAATGTCTGGCGCTTCCCATACCTCTGCTATCGCAACGGGGGAGGTACCCAGTGGACACAGGGCAGGGACCACTCACTCTGGTAGAGCCCACTCACCAGGGCCTGGGCTACTCTCTCCCTGGTTCAGACCCAACTCCAGAAAGGCTGGCCTCTGGCCCTCATCTTTATCCCTTCCTTAGCTTAAGTACAAGACTACCCTTCAACCCTGCTCCCTTGAGGCAAGGAGAAGTGAAGAAAATAGCTCAACTTCCTGGGGTTCACTCTCTTACCCTCATGTGTCAGCATCTGCTCACATGTGTCATGGTTAAACCATCCATTCCCACCCAAACATGGCAGCTCCAGGATTGGATTCTGTGGGGAGCTGACTTCCCAGGAGCCTCTGTCAAGTTCAAAGGCCGTTAGGGGACTGTGCCTCAGATCCCAGCTCCTCAGTGCCTGCCACACCCCTACTCTAACCCTATCCAATCACAGGGTTTTACTGTTGGGTTTGGAGCAAGAAGGCCAGGGGGGATTTCCCAAGCCCACCCTGAGCCACACCTACCTCTCCCTGCCCACCAGGCGCCTTCATGTTCCCCTACTTCATCATGCTGATATTCTGTGGGATCCCCCTCTTCTTCATGGAGCTCTCCTTTGGCCAGTTTGCAAGCCAGGGCTGCCTGGGAGTCTGGAGGATCAGCCCCATGTTTAAAGGTAAGACCTGGGTGGGTGGGACTGGCGCTCTCTCTCTCTCTCTCTCTCTCTCTCTCTCTCTCTCTCTCTCTCTCCTCTCCTCCCTCCCCCCTCTCACACACACAGGCCTCTGAAGGCCTAGTCCACTAACCCATCTGTATAAACACTGCCATCCCCTGTGGAGCCTTGGCCCTGACCCCCAGCCCCACCACATCAATGGCTAAGCCATAGATACCTGCTGGAGTCCATGTTTACATAGCCTCCACCCTCCTCTCCTGCCAATATACACACAAATTACTCCCTAATTCTCCTTGTTATGGCCTTGACCTACCCCTCCAGCAGCCATCCATCAAAGTCTACCCCTTGGGCCCTCAGGAACTGTTCACCTCACCTCCTTCTGCTTAGATGTGTGAGACTTCTCCCTCAACAGTGCTGATTGGTTCCCTTCTCCAGGCGTGGGCTATGGCATGATGGTGGTATCCACATATATCGGCATCTACTACAACGTGGTTATCTGCATCGCCTTCTACTACTTCTTCTCATCCATGACACATGTGCTGCCCTGGGCCTACTGCAATAACCCTTGGAACACGCCCGACTGTGCTGGTGTTCTGGATGCCTCCAATTTCACCAATGGCTCCCGGTCCTCCCTCCTTCCCAGCAATCTCTCTCACATGCTCAACCACACCCTGCAGAGGACCAGCCCAAGTGAGGAGTACTGGAGGTGAGGCCCCCCCACTGGAGCCAAGCCAGAACGGGACCTGGAGGCAGCCCTCAAGCCCTCCTTGTCCCCATTAAGCAACCGTGTGCAGACTAGATCGGGTTTTCTGACCTCAGCTGTGTTAAGGTGGGTAAAGAGGCTGACAACGCAGAGAGCTATGGAAGATGGCGAGTTGGGAAATCCTTACAGAGTAGTAGTGAGAGAGAGAGCTCCAGAAATCTGACAAGACTACAGAAAAGAATTCAGACAAAGGAGGATGGCATGCTGGTGAGAACAGCATAAGCAAAGGCTCTGGGTCCCAGATAAACAGAGGTTGATCCTAAGGCTGTGGGGAGACTACCATAGCCTGTGGAGGCACACTGTGTTCATAGAGAACTGACAAGAATTAGGCTTCGATTTAGTACTGCAGACCAAAAGGAGCCAAGAAATAGCTAGGGTGCCAAGATCAAAACAGGCCATTCAGAGGTGAGAGACCAGAATCTCAGGACCTGCTGAAAGCAGCTATTGCTGCGAGTGTCCTTGAGCACCTTGTCCAAAGTGGTAGGTGAGGGTACTTCAAGACATCCTGGAAGGAATTTCCCATATCCTGTTGAGGAGCCCCAGGGCAGAGCATATGGGTGAGTAGACCTCATTCATTCACTCCACAAACATTCATGATGTGTGCTCCGCAGGCTCTGTGTGTCTATGGCAGGTACGAAGGGCCCAGAGCATCTGCCCTGAGGAGTTCAAAGTCAGGTGGGAGACCGATAGCTAGTCATAGTACAGGCAGGTGCTTTGGTATAGGTCCATGTATGGGGTGTGGAAACACCAAGGAGGTAGTAGTTATGGCTACCCAGGAAAAGGATAAGGATCAAGAGAGCAGAGACTAGGAGGCCTATGGGAGCGGTGCTTGTGGGGGCAACTGGAACAGAGGTGAGACCGGCAGGCAGCACATGCGCAAGAGTTCGTTGCTAGCCTGAGTTGAAGGCTTTCTCTGCCCTCAGGGAGAGCCACAGGGTTGATGCACAGGCCCCTGGGATTCTGCAGTTCCAGTGGGTCCTCCAAGTCCAGTCCAAAGGGCACAAACCTGGAGCACTAGATCCTCTGTGCCAGCCTCTGCTGGCAGAGGATAGGCCCTCAAAGGTGGGTAAGACATGGCTAACGGCCCTTAGAACGCAGTCTAGGGAAAAGAACCTGTCTTCCAGTGAGAGCTTGACAGGCCTGGTGGCTCAGTCACTGGACAAGCTGTTTAAGAGGCAAGGCAGAACAGTGCGTAAGATACAGGTGAACATTGTCTTATAGTGTTCATCCAGTGGAAGAGCTAAGCGGATATTTGCCCAATGCAAGGTGTAAACTGGGTAGCTTGATCTAGCCTGAGGATGATAAGTCCTGTTGGATGTTTCCAGAACCACAAAGCCTTCTGCTCCTCTTCTATACTCTCTCCCTATACCTTCCCCTCAACCAGGTCCTCCATAGTGCCTGTCCCAGGAAAAACTCCCAGGAGAAATCTCTGGAGGTTTTTATCTAGTAAAATCAGAGAATTGCCTTCAGAAATCTGATGGGGGCTGGGAGGGTGACTTCGTGGTAAGGGTGCTTGTCTAGTATGCATGAAGCCCTGGGCTCAATTCTCAGTAACACATAAACAGAAAAAGCTGCTGTGGCTCAAGTGGTAGAGCACTAGCCTTGAGCTAAAGAGCTCCAGGACAGCACCCAGGCCCAGTGTTCAAGCCCCACAACCAGGGGAAAAGAAGAAGAAGAAAATAAAAAGAAAGCTGATGGAGGGTGGGGGGGAGAGGGGAGGGCACTGGGTGACCAGCTGAGCCCTGCACACAGACCTAGGTTGTACCAAGCCTTCCTGAAACCAGCGCTGTCTCTAGCTCCATAGCTTCCTGGTAGAATAGCTCCTTACTGCCACCTCCTGGAAGTCCTGGGAAGTGACCTGTCACAATAGCCTTTGAGCTGGTTTCAGGAGAGTTGCCCCGGACCCCATATCCTGAGCATCTACTCTGTGCAGACATATTATTTCAGTAGACACTGTTATCCCCAGGTTCAGATCTGGAGGCTGATATTCAGAGGTTAAGTGGTTGCCAGTAACAGGGCCATCTGGTCAGGGGGGCCTGACAGATGTGGTCAGCCCACAAGAACCTTTGAATAGTGGCATTAGAGTGGTTATGATAGCCCATTACAACTCTGTGTTAGGTAGATTATGCAGGTGTAATTTTCAAGATACCATTTTATGGGGTTGGAGGCATGGCTCAAGTGGTACGGTGCCAGCCAATGAGAGAAAGCATCAGATACGGAGTTTGAGTCCCAGTCTCAGACACCAAAACAAACAAAAAAGTTACCATTATATGAATTAGGAAATCAAGACCAAAAAAAATTTTTTTATGGTTAGTGGTAGATAGAGTGCTTGCTGAGCATGCAAGCGGCCCCCTTTGATCCTAGCAGCGTAAAAAAAAAGATACCTCTAATATAAGGTAAGTCCAGAGGGCAGATTTCTGAGCTACATCTGCTTCTTGCCTACCCTTCCCACTTAAACCCTCCTCCGCTCTTTCACCATTTCCTTCCACCTGACCTTCACATTCTTATCTGTGCTGGTCTGAGTCCTGCCACCAGGCCCTAGCTTCATGACCAGGCTTTCCCAGCTCCACAGCCTCTGTGGCATCCAACACCTGATACCCAACACAGTAATCCTAGCCCACCTTCCCCCTCCTCCTGGCACCTCCACCCCATTCAAACCTTGTCTCTGCCACTTATGTCCTCTTTGGTCTTGGGAAGTCATCCAACCTCATGTATTTACCCTTCAGAGTGGTTATGATAGCCCTTTCATTGGTGTGTGTGTGTGTGTGTGTGTGTGTGTGTGTGTGTGTGTGTGCATGCATGGGCATGCATGCGCATGTGCACATGCGCACGCCAGAGCTGGAGCTTGAACTCAAGGCCTGGGCGCTGTCCCTGAGCTTTTATGCTCAAGGCTAGTTTTAGTGCCTTATTTCTTGAGCCACAGCTCCACTTCTGGCTTTTTTGTTGTTAATTGGAGATATGACTTTCACAGACTTTCCTTCCTGGGCTGGCTTCAAACCTTGATCCTCTGGTCTCAGCCTTCTGACTAGCTAAGACTACTGACATGAGCCACCAGTACCTGGCTCCCTTATTGTTATAAATATGACATGAGATGCTCTAGCATAAACATCAAGAACTATGGTGTATGCTCAGTGGCCATAGCCATAGCCATGACCGGATGAGTGACGACCGCAGCTATGGTAGCTCTCTTATGGCCTTTTAGATAGATAGATAGATACGTACATACATACATATGAAAAATAATAAGGCAGAGGCTCAGAGTTTGGAGTAGAAACTCTTCTGGGCCCACTGGTGGTAATAAATTCAAGTTCTAAAAGAAAAATAAATTAGAATAATTCCATAGAGCCACTTTGTAAATATGTTGTGTTCCAAAAGTTCTTAACTGATCCCAAAAACACATGGCCTAAAACAACAACACACTTAAATATGGTGCCATCTAAAATAAAGCTAGTGTTTATTCTTTGGTTCTCAGGCTAACCTTCTAAACTCTTTAATTTCTAGTATGGTAACGCTATGTTCTTGCAATACAAAGTAACATCACATACTACCAGTTTAAAGATGGGCACTGGGGGTTCACAACTGTAATCCTAGCTACTCAAGAGGCTAAGATCTGAGGATTGAGGTTCTAAGCTAGCCTAGGCAGGAAAGTCTGTGAGACTCTTTAATCTCGAATTAACCAGTAAAAAGCCAGAAGTGTAGGTATGGCTCAATTGGTAGAATAACAGTCTTGATCAGAAAAGCCAAATGAGAACATGAGGCCCTGAGTTCAAGTACCAGTTCTGGCACACACTGACAAATATACACACAACTACAGTATTTAAAATCCTTTAAACAATAAAGGGTTTCTTTACTTGAGTGCTGCTGCTTCGGGAAAGCATCTGTTGAGTGAAGCAGAAGAGACCAAGCTTCCCAGCACTGATGTGTCCAGTATTGGAGTACCCAGGCAGGAAGGGCCTCCGTGCTTGGGTAGTCCAGAGCCCCAGCCTAGCTGCTCTCAGCTGTGAGGGACCTCGTCTGTTTACCTCAATGGACCAACACATACTTTTGTCTGTGTGTGCTGTGAAGGAAGAGACAGAAGAGCACTGTTGAAGGGGACCAGGAGCTTCTGCTGTTCCTCTTCCTGTTGTCTGTTGGTTCCTGGGGCCTGAGAGCCTGGAAATGGTCCTGAAAGTGCTTGGGGTTGATGCTGGCAGACTAGAGAAAGAGGGAGGGGACGGAGAGGGGGAGAATGCACCCTCTGCAGGCCATATTGTGAAGAACCTGGGTGGAAGATAGACTGCCAAAGGATCATGCATGTTAGTAGGCAGGCCTGCCAAGCAAACATGTATGCCTGCCTCTCTTGTACTGTTCCTCTAACCTGGCCTGGCCTCCCTGGTCTCTTTGTCCATCTCTTCTCAACTCCTTACCACCAAAGCTGCAACCTGGCTTATTCTGAGAAGCCTTCACTCTGAGGCTCTCCCCACGAGAGTGTCACATCCCTGCCTATGGCACTTGGTCCCATCTTTACCCCCTTCTTTCCTTCTAAAGCAGTCCTGCTTCTTTCCTCCGCCTTCTTCCATGAGGAAGAAGCTGCTCCATGCAAGTCTGGATGCCCAGTGGCCTGGCCCACAGCCTGGCATATGAATGTCCTGTTGATTGAAAGAGCACAGCTGGGCCCATAGGGAGGAGTTCAGGTGCTTAGCACCTGGCTGTCTTCCCTTACTTGGTGGGAGATGGAGAAGACTAGGGTGAAATACTTAACAGAAGGCTTCCTGGAAGAGGTGGCTCTGACAGGATGAAAGAGGGATTCCCAAAGGGCAAAATGCAGAGGCAAAGGGCAAGTGCCTGTGGGGGGCCCAAGCAAAAACTGGGAGATGCCCATGCCCCAGGGGAAGCCTGAGCCTCAGATAACTCCTTGAGGCCAGGACACTGAGTCCTTGAGGGTCCCAAGAAAGGCTGCATGGCAGTGGACTTGTGTCAAATTGTCAGGAGTTGCAGTTGGCTGCTAGGGGCTGGGCTGGCTGGGACTGGGGTCCTAAATGTGGCTCCCGTCTCACACAAACAGGCTGTTGTGGGAGAAAGGGGAGCAGCTAGCAGGCCCATGGGGTTTGGGAACTGCAGCACGGAGGCTGGCCGTGCAGTGACAGCCTCCCCTTCCCCAGGCTCTACGTGTTGAAGCTGTCAGATGACATCGGGAACTTTGGGGAGGTGCGGCTGCCCCTCCTGGGCTGCCTCGGTGTCTCCTGGGTGGTCGTCTTCCTCTGCCTCATCAGAGGGGTCAAGTCTTCAGGGAAAGCAAGTACCTTCCCCGACAGGGTCTGGCCCTTCCTGGGGGGTGGGTGGGTAGTGGGGAGGGGGTAATGATGGGTCATGGGAAAGAAAGAAAGGCCAGAGCCCAGTGGCGGTGGGGGTGGTTTGAGAGGTAGTAGCAGAGTGGGAAGGGGGGCGAGAAGTCCATGGAGCCCTGTCCCCCCAGGTGGTGTACTTCACGGCCACCTTCCCCTATGTGGTGCTCACTATCCTGTTCATCCGCGGAGTGACCCTGGAGGGAGCCTTCACGGGCATCATGTACTACCTGACTCCACAGTGGGACAAGATCCTGGAGGCCAAGGTGGGATGCGGAGGGGGACCCCAGAGGAGTCAGCGTGGGACCAGGGTGGTTACCTCTGGCCACATCACCTCACTGGCCACCCTCTGCAGGTGTGGGGCGATGCCGCCTCCCAGATCTTCTACTCGCTGGGCTGTGCCTGGGGCGGGCTCATCACTATGGCTTCCTATAACAAGTTCCACAACAACTGCTACCGGTAAGAGGCCCCGACCTGCCTGGAGGCTACCCTGTCCCCTGGTCTTTCCATAGCCTGATCACCCAGACTCCCAGGCTCTGCCCTGCCAGGGGCCTTGCCTCCCATTCACAGCTCCAAGTCTTGACAATGCTGTATCTGGATGGAATCTCCAGAGCGGGAGGAAAAGCTTTGGCAAAGACAGAAGAGATGAAACAGCTATCAGGAATCTGTGAGGGCTCAGGGGCCTACGACTCACTTTCACAAGGCCCAAGAAAAGGGGTAGGGGGAGCCTTTGATTCTAGAACTTTCCATGTCTTCTCTCTTGCCTCACATCAAGGAGTGGGGAGCAAGCTAACACCCTATGGACTTGGGTCCAAGTTCTTCTTTTTTTTTTTTTTTGGTAAACTCCATCTTTTCCATTAGTCCAATAAAGGGATTTGTCAAATATAGATCTGCTCTTCTCTTGAACTCTGCCCCCGTTTTCCCCTCTCTCAGGGACAGTGTCATCATCAGCATCACCAACTGTGCCACCAGTGTCTATGCAGGCTTTGTCATCTTCTCCATCCTCGGCTTCATGGCCAATCACCTGGGTGTGGATGTGTCTCGCGTGGCAGACCACGGCCCTGGCTTGGCCTTTGTGGCTTACCCTGAGGCCCTCACACTGCTGCCCATCTCTCCGCTGTGGTCCCTGCTTTTCTTCTTCATGCTCATCTTGCTGGGGCTGGGCACTCAGGTACAGGTGCAGGGTGAGCTGGGGGATTGGGGAGGGAGAAGCAGGGCTCGAGGTCCCGCTCTGATAGCTGTGTCCTGCAGTTCTGCCTCTTGGAGACACTGGTCACTGCCATCGTGGATGAGGTGGGGAATGAGTGGATCCTGCAGAAGAAGACCTATGTGACATTGGGTGTGGCTGTGGCTGGCTTCCTGCTGGGCATCCCCCTTACCAGCCAGGTAAGAACCACATTGAGTTGGAGAAAGGCTGGGCTGCACTTGCCAGGGTACATGGGAAACAAGGGAGCCTGGGGCCTTGGACCCTCCTGGCTCAGTTGCCTGCTGGCCCACAGGCAGGCATCTACTGGCTGCTGCTGATGGACAACTATGCAGCCAGCTTCTCCCTGGTTGTCATCTCCTGCATCATGTGTGTGTCCATCATGTACATCTACGGTAAGTGCTGCACTTCCATGGCCCTGCCTGTCCATCCCTGGCCAGTCCTGCTGGGTCTGCTGACCCATCCCCCACCCTTTCTCCAGGGCACCGGAACTACTTCCAAGACATCCAGATGATGCTGGGCTTCCCTCCACCTTTCTTCTTCCAGATCTGCTGGCGCTTTGTCTCTCCAGCCATCATCTTCGTGAGTGCCTTGGGGCCCTCCCTGCCCCCTACTGGCCCTCAGCCAAGTGTCTACTTAGGAACCAGCAGAAAGGGAGCAGGAGTCCATCGACCTGGCCAGAGCTCTACACCCACAATTCTGGCTTCTGGTGTCTGAGGGAAAGATTGATCAGATAGGTGTAAGCCACCAGGCCTTGGCCTTGGCTTAGGAAGGAGATGTTGAGCCTCATATTTGACTGAAGGCAATGTCCATGCTTGAAGGGGACAGTGGCCGCAGCAACTCCAGTGAGTCAGCCCCCTCCCTGGTGTGTTCTGCCTGGCTTCTTCCGAGGGGGTTTCAGGAGGCTTTGCGATTGATGTCACTGCTGTCACTCAAGGAAGGAGAGGCATGGCAGGATCAGGAATGGTGGAATGTCCCAGAAGCATCCCCTTTTGATGCCAGTTTGAAGGAGTCAATAGTTCTGCTGTGGGGGCAGCTTTCCAATCTACTAGGAACTGGGTTGGCTTGGGGGGTGCTGTCCTTAATTCTACAAATGCTGAATGGAGAGCAGAACTGGTAGGAAGACCATTCCCTATTCCCCTCCTCCCCCCATTACAAGGAAATAGGCACTTCCTGAACAGATTCCCATACCACCACCCTCCAGGGGTGATGAGGAAACCAAGACATAGGGATACTAAGTAGTGCCCAAATTACCTAGCTTACAAGAGGCAGCTAATAAAGGTCATGGTGTGGAGCAGGTAGCCTAGTTTGGAGCCAGCCTGCTGGGTGACCATGACTCTAGAAATCATGCCATAGGAAGGAAGAATGGCCTGTGAGTCTGAAAACCAGATCATTGGGGTCAGAGGCTGGGGGCATGAGTTGATAGTATAACAGTACACAGAGAGTCAGAGAGGTCAGCTAATGGTAAAGCAGCATCTAGTCAGTTTGGTCCCGCTGAACTTCTCAGTGCTACAGGGAACTCCACACTGAACTTCCACTCTGGCTCATATTTCTAATAAAAAGGTCCCTGGAGGGCAGAGGCCTCCACCACATGCGGTATGGGGATGTTTCCCCAGCTTGGCACAGTACCAGCTCTGGCCACTGGCCCAGCTTTGAAACAGGAGGAGCAGACGTCTCCTGTCAGGAGTTGGAGGCCAGTGGAGGCAGGTGCCACCACCCCACACCCGAGCCTCTTGGGGCATGGCACTGACCCAGCTTCTCAGCACTCAGGGTGGACTAATGACTGCCCTGGGGAGACCTGGGGGTACCTCTCGAGGGCAGGAGGAAGAGACAGACAGACAGACACAAATAGAGCCTATGAGTGCAGCCTCAGCCTGGGTTGTGTCTTCTTGAGACAAAGGGAATAGTGCATCTCTGGGCCCAGAAAGCCAGGCTGGAGGTCCTTTGAGGAGAAGACTCCAGGCTCTGTAGAAACATCTGGACTGTCATACTCTTGTATGACATCATCAGGTGACCATATTCAGGGTACCAGGAAGGGACCCCTGTTGTGGGTCAGGGAAGGCCAAAGCAGCCAGAGTTCTAGGACGCAGCTGAAAATCTCAGAAGCAGGGCGCCAGTGGTTCATGCCTGTAATCCTAGCTACTTAGAAGGCTGAGATCTGAGGATTGAGGGTTCAAAGCCAGCCTGGGCAGGCAAGTCCATGAGACTCCAATTAACCACCAAGAAACCAGAAATGGTGCTGTGGCTCAAGTGGTAGAGCACTAGCCTTAAGCTGAAGAGCTAAGGGACAGCACCAGGCCCAGAGTTCAAGCACCAGGCCCAGATTTCAAGCCCCAGGACAAAAACAAAAAACAAAACAAAAAAAACCCCAAACCCTCAGAAGTCACTGAGCCCTTCTGGCAGGCCAAGGTTCAAGCTTTCCAGGTGGAACCATGAGCCACCTGCCCAAATCCCAGATCCCATTCTTTTTAGCTTCTCTTGCTGTAGACTTGGCCTTTGCTTTCCATCACACACACCTCGTTCCCAAGAGGCTCCCTAGTGTGTCCAGGGCCTGACCTTTTTAGCCTTTGGGCCCTCCCCCAGCTGAATGTCACTTCTTCACCACCACAGCAGGGCTTCACACTCTTCACACCGCTCTCCCTCCTCTTCTCCTTCCCCCTCCCCCAATCTCTTGGCACAAATCAGTTTAATCAGTCAATGGGATAATGACAGGCACTGGAGACTCAGAGCAGATGCAATCCCAGGAGCTCCCGGGTCCTGGGAACTCCTAGGAAATAGGAAGATGGATGGGAACTACCACTCAGGAGTCTTCAGAAAGGCTTCCTGAAGGAGGTGTCTTAGGGTTTGGCAGTGGAAGATACAGAAGCTGCCTCCCCAGAATGAATGGACAGAAGCCGAAAAGTTCTGAGAGTTATGGAAACCCTCAGGCAAAGTCTTGGAGCCAGGCAAAGGCCTAAAGACCAGGAATTCAGCCCTACCTCAATGGGCAGAAGGGAGCCATTTCAGCTCTTGGAGTGAAACCTGACTGACTTCCAAAGGGAGCAGCAACTTGGTTGTTCTTCGGCTAGTCTAGCACACTGGGGAAGATACAGCTTTTCCCTTCCATGGCGCCTACCATGCCCTGTGCCTTGGTTCTGCTTGCTTCATTCACTTCTTGACCCCAACTATTCCTAGCTTGGGAATTGGAGAGGGCTTAGGAGAGGTTCTAGGCCCACCTCATGCCACCCCTATCTCTACCCCCACAGTTCATTCTCATCTTCACGGTGATCCAGTACCGGCCAATCACCTATAACCACTACCAGTACCCAGGCTGGGCCGTGGCCATCGGCTTCCTCATGGCCCTGTCCTCTGTCATCTGCATCCCTCTCTATGCCCTGTTCCAGCTCTGTCGCACAGATGGGGACACTCTCCTCCAGGTAAGGGGTGGCACAGCCCGGGGCTGTGAAACGGGAAGTTGGGGGAGGGGGTAGATGGATGAGGGCTTCCTTCTGATTGGCCCTGCCCACCCTATCTCCTGCCTACAGCGTTTGAAAAATGCCACAAAGCCAAGCAGAGACTGGGGCCCTGCCCTCCTGGAGCATCGGACTGGGCGCTATGCCCCCACCATAGCCCCCTCTCCTGAAGATGGGTTCGAGGTCCAGCCACTGCACCCGGACAAGGCCCAGATCCCCATGGTGGGCAGTAATGGCTCCAGCCGCCTTCAGGACTCCCGGATATGAGCACAGCTGCCAGGAGAGTGGCCCCACCCCACCTCTGCTCCCAACACAGAGACTGGGGAGGCAGAGACAGGTGTCACCGCCTGCCCCGCCCCGCCACGCCCTGGCCAGGACGGCTGCTGTCACCTTGACCACCACTGCTAGTGCAGTCATTTGTGCTCGTGTCCCCAGTGTTTACATGTCCTTTGGATGCCAAGATGGCAGCTGGGGTTGGGGAGGAAACAGGAGGATTGTTGGAGGGTCCCAAAGCACTTTGGAGGGGTCTTGGGCCAGGTCCCCAAAGGCCTATCAGGCTTCCCATGGCCCCTGACTCCCTCACACTCTGCCCCAAGCTGAGGTTCTGAGGTTGGCCTCCAGCCTCATGACCAGTGTTCCTGCCCCCAGAGCAGACGCCACCTCTGCCCAAGCAAATTTGGATCTTTCTACTTGGGGCAGGGTGAGGGGCTGGGGGCTGCACAGTGTTACTTGTTCAGACTGTACCACCTAGCCCTGTTTATCTGTGTAATTATTTTTGTAAAAGTTGTATTATCTGTGGTTGCCACCCCCTGCCCCAGCCTCGGTTCCAATTTGTCTTCCAGGCCTGCTTGCACCTCACTCGGCCACTCCTGGGTCTCTGCCCCATTCCAGCCCTGGCTGTCAGGCCCAGCCAGTTGAGGCTGTGACCCAGCATCCCCTCCCAAAGCATTTGTTTCTGGAGGGCAGGGATGGAGGCTGCTCAACAAGAGCTTTGAGCCCACAGCCCTGGGAGCAGGGGACCCTGCACGACTTCCTCTTGCCTCCTCCTCCACTAGGCTAAAGGCCCAGTCTTCCAGATCTGCTGCCCTTGTTCACGTGCCAAATGGCCCCAGCCCATGTGCCCATCTCCTCCTCCAGAGCCCTGCAGTGTTCCGTTTGTCTGTCCCCTGTGCCCTCTGTGCAGTGACAGCCCTGGCAGAGCCGCCTCTAATCCTCTGTAGCAATAACGGTGGGCTGCCCGCCCCTGCCCATTCGTGCACCACTAGGATTTTAAAGTCCATAGATTTTAATGAAATTTCTATTCCTGTCACTGAGCTGCTGCTGTGCTTTGTCTGGGTCCCCTAGGGGACAAGAGTCTGGCTGGGATAGGACCTCTGTTGTCCCTTTGTGGAGTCTTGGGAGGAGAAAGGCCAAAGGCTTTGATGGTTAGGCAGACAGGCAGCTACTCACCCCTAGATACAAGGGGCCTGGTAAAGGGGTGGGGCAAGGACCCGTTGACGAACAGCCTTGAGGTTCTGGCAAAGCTCATCCAAGACTAGACCAGATGCTGGCAAGCCATAGCAGCCGGAGGTAGCCACAGCAAGTAGGGGTGAATTCCATCAGAAGCCTGCTTCTGTGGCCAGCCCTTCAGGTTGGAGCTCCAGGTGGAGCCCGGGGTGCTGCACTGGACACAGTTGTGGAAGCTGGTCCTTTCCTGGGGCTGCACCGAAGCTGTCGGCCCCAGCGGCAAGTGGCAGGCCGGCCTCCAGGCTGGGGACAGCGCTCCAAAGGAGGTGCAGGCTGATAGCCTTGGAGAGTTCCAGACCAGACTCTGGTCGTCCCAGGGTGACAAGGAAAGGGTCTGAGACCCTGAGTGGAGGACTCTGAGGACTGCTGCCTGGATGAGAAAGAATGGCTGTGAGGAGAGGTCACAGTCTAACCCTTCAACCCTCCCTGCCCACCACCTATGTTCTTTGATATACCTGTGCATAGCAGAGGGGCAGGGAGGCCTGAGAGAGGCCTTCAGCTCCTGTTCCATGGCCTTCTTCTGTTCCTTCAGCTCTGAGGGAGGGCACAGTTGAGACAGGGACCAGCTCTCCTAGGTGATGTACAATGTGGGGCTGGGATAGGAAGTGGGGTGCTCTGGGGCCTGTTCAGGGGTCTCACCTGTCAGGGTAGGCTCTGGGATTGTCTCAGAGAGTTGGCAAGCCCGTGTATGCTCCACTTCCAGGCAGCACTGCAGGGAAAGCTGCTCAGTAGCCCTGCCTGAAGGCAGTGGCCAAGATCCCTAGAGCTGGGCCTGGAAAGCAACTCAGCCAGCTGCCATGAGGGTATGCCCAGAGTGAACACCAGCCTTGCTGAAGGTTTTGGCAAGATGGTGGTTGGGCTTGTAAAGTCTTAAAAGAAAAAGACAAGAAACCTGGGCTGTCTGGCAGCTTAATATACAACTGCTGACCTTGGACTTGGGGACTCCGCCAGAATCCTGAACTAGGATTTCATATACAAGTGTGCACACATGAGAAATGGATGCAAGACTCACCATGTTGATGTGCACTTACATATGCAAACAACACACGTGCCTGGAGAAGCAAGTGAGTCTCTGCTGAGCAGTAAACCTAGAGGAAAATCCAGGGCTGTGCTCACCTGCAGAGTGGAGATCTCTCTCTCCAAGTTACGACAGTCCTCTTCCAAGAGGGCCCTGGAACACAAAGGAGCATGTCAGAAGCAGGGAGGCAGGAGCCCAGGAGCTCCTCCTGATTCCTTTTTGAGCAGACACTGCCCTCTGCCTTCTAGGTTAGACCCCTTTCTAAGCAGGATGTTGTCTCCTGGCTCACCCACAGCTCCCACACCAGCAGGCACCATCTTCCTCTTTGGGCCTGTGACTTACCATCCCCATCCTCCCCTCTATTATAGTCCTTTCCCTGCTTAGGACCTTGCTGGGCACTGGTGGCTCACACTTGCAATCCTAGCTACTCAGGAGGCTGAGATTTGAGAATTGTAGTTCAAAGCCAGCCTGGGCAGGAAAGTCCGTGAGACTACCAGCAAACCAGAAGTGCAGCTGTGGCTTAAAGTGGTAGAGTGTTAGCTGTGAGCAAAAGAACTCTGGGACAGAAACCAGGTCCTAAGTTCAAGGCCCACAACCAAAAAACAAAAGCAAACAACAACAACAAAAAAAATCCAAGGACTCTGGCATCTCCTGGTTACCTCCTGACAGCAGCCCACTACTATCTCTACAGCAGCAGCTCTGCCCTCCGCTCAGCCCTGCATAGGGAGGGTCTGCCTCCCCCAATCCCATGCTGTCCCCCTTTCCTCTCATTAGTCCCAGGCCCTCAAGAGCCATCTACTGTCTTTTGTCCTGTCTGCCACCTATACACATTCAGATGCTCCTGGTCCTCACCTCAAGTGTCCAGCAACCTGGTCAATGCCGGACACGTTCAGTTGGTCCTTGATGACACTGAGGGTCCTTTGACTGCTGCTGACAGATAAAAGTCACTATCACCCTCCCCATATTTCACACAAATGCCACACCTAGGTTAATTTTGTATCTTTTCTCACAAAGTCAACCTAGGTGACAGTAGGAATTCTAGAACCCGGGCTTGCACATGGACACTCTTCCATGTGTGACTCCTGACATATTGCCTCTTCTTTCTGAGCCTTACTTCCTCATCTGTAAAATGGGGATGTTGTCTACCTTACGGAGCTGTGTGAGAATTCACATAAGAAACTGCTACCATCCACTTCTTCCAAAGTGGTCCCAATCCTTGATCACATTCAGCCCTCAGCTAGAAACACCTTGTGCTCCTTCTCAGCGCCTTCTGCCTAACTCTCACTCCTGTTCCCTAGTCCTGAGAACAACTTTCCCTTGCACATGGCCTCCTGTCCCCTCTTCTGGAAAAGCTCTTCTATCTGCCTCATTCTCCCAGGTACAGATCAACCTAGTCACTCTCCAGCAAGCCTTGCCTGAAGGCTGAGCAGGTGTCTCCTCAAGACTTCTGTGGAGCAGGGTGCTGGTGGCTCATGCCTAGTAATCCTAGATACTCAAGAGGCTAAGATCTGAGGATCATGTTTCAAAGCGAGCCCAGGCATGAAAGTTCTGAAGACACGGGAAAGTGATGCTGTGGCTCAAAGTGGTAGAGCACTAGCCTTGAGCAAAAAAGCTCAGGGACAGTGCCCAGGCCCCAAGTTCAAACCCCACAACCGACAAAAAAAAAAAAAAAGAGACCCCCAAGAAAGGACTTCTGTGGCCCTCATGTACAGACCCCTATCACAAGCAGCTATTAACGAGTCCCGCCCCAGCCTGGCAGCTACCCTGTAGAGTCAGGTGGGCTCCACCATTTTCACTAGGACCTTCTGGCAAGCCCTCTTCCTCTGCCATCACTTTACCTGGGCTCCACCACTGTCCCTTGAAATTGCTCCTGTTCTGGAAGGTCACACGTAGGCTCCTCCAAGGCAAAGCGAAGGACTTTGGGGCTATATTGGGCCCAGGCTTGGGCCTGGTCCCTACAAAGAGGTACACACGGAGGGAGCTAAGGGGTCCTGTCAGGAAACCATAGAAAAGGCCACCCTGGCTCTTGTCAGGGGTGGGGCTAGCCCACGTGGTGTCCGAGGGCGGGGCCCAGGCCTGCCATGCCCACCTGCCCTCGCAGATAGCCTTGTGGCGGAGACTTTGGAGCAGCTGTCGCAGTTCCTGGCGCACAAGGTCCCTCAGGAGAGGCGGTGGTGCCAGAAGGGAGGAAGGGTCAGAGATGGGGTGGGAGCCAGGGGCTCGGGAGGATCGGGCCTCTTGGAGCAGTGCTTGTAGCATCGCCACCTGCAAGGAGAGCTGGGACACCTTGCGACCGGGCAGGGAAGAGGTGAGAGGGCGGGGTGGGGCAGAGTCGAGCAGGAGAGGACCAGGGCGCGCTGGCAGGTCCCCGGGCAGGGCCGGACGCCGAGGAGGTGGGGGAAGCTCCCAACGCCTGGGGCCGGCCCGGGGCGTGGCCCACCTCCCCGCTCCCCACCTCCGCTCGCAGCTCCAGGTTCAGGTCCACCACCGCCTCCCCCAGAATCCTCTTCACTTCGGGTCGCTCCGGGAGCGGAACGTGCTCCTCCACCAGCTCCCACAGCGACGGGGAGTCCCAGGGCATGGCCCGCTCGGCCGCTCTCCCCCACTCCGACCACCGGTCGCCCGAGCTGGAGTCACGCCCCCCGGCCCCGCCCCCCTGGACATCACAGGTCCCGCCTTGTTCTGTCGCGGTCCTCGGCGCTCTCTCTTCCGTCCTGCTTCTGGAAGGTCCCAGGGCCATCCGCAGTGCTGGCCACGGCCACCCGGTGGGAACCAGGTCCTGGCCCCGCCCCCTCGACACAGCCGTCTCTCGGGGAACCGCGCACGCCATAGGCCCCGCCCCCGGGAGGTCCCGCCCCCAAGGCCTTGCGGGTGGAACCCTGGGAACCCCTGCTGTCGACCTAATTAGTTTGGGTGCACGGCAGGTGTAAAAGGGCCAGGGAGTGGGCGCTCCACCCCCGGGGCTGTCCACAGTGCCTTGGGCTCTTTCCGCCTCTAGGCAGGTGGAAGACAGAAATCTGGTCTCGAGTTCATTACTTCACTGGCCTTAGGCAATGACAAGTTAAGTTTGCAAGTCCAGTGAGCTGGCACGAAGCTGGAGGGGGGGGGGGAGGGAGGGGGGGGGAGTGTCCACGTCCCTGTGTGCTGCAGCTGACTGAAGTCCCAGGACCCGTGTCTCTCTCCCCAGCAGACACAGAGGACGTTCCATTCACGTTTTTTACTAAAGCACCCACACAAGTTTCTGTGCAATGTACAAACATGAGCCGGCCTCTGGGGCTTCTGCCTCCTCTCTGAGACAGGGAGGCGGGAACTATAGACTAATCCAGTCCCCTTACCCCCCCATGCAAAAGCCAACCCCAAGGTCCCAGGCAGCAACACAGCACCCCCTCTGGTCCCCTCCTGGGGCTGCTCCTCAGCAGGAGGCACACCAAAGATTGCCCCCTACAATGTTGAATGAAAAAGGTTTCCCCTCCCCTGGGAGCATGGGGGAGTCTCATGTCTGAGAATTCCCCCTGGAAGAGACACTGCCCCCTAGTCATACCTCCCATCCTTCCAGGCCCTAGGGGACTCAAGGGGGAGGAGGGAAACTTGAGGCACAGAGAGGTGGAGTGACCTAGCCCAGGCCACTCCGCGAGGCAGTACAGGGGCTGGCCGGACCCTGACAGTGAGGAAGGCTGGGCTAGGGGAAGTGGGGCAGAAAGAAGGGTTGACCCCAGAGAGGGCCACATTTGAGGGGCCTGCCCAGGCCAGAAGCCCCTCAAAGTGGGTTCTGGAACTTCTAGGTCCAACTGGCGGTCTCTATAAGACCCTCAAACATAACCCACAGCTCAGTCCTGGGGGTCGCCCATTGAACAGATGCCCGAGCCAGGCTGTAGGTCAGTCCTCTGGCAAGCAATCATTGGCACCAAGAACTTTTGTCTATTAATGTCAGCCCCTAGGGGGCCATGATGGGGGTCGACCAATGTCCACTGTGATGTTGGTGAAGAGAGGTTGCCGAGACACCTCCAAGACCCGGTATCGCACTGACCCAATGCCATCCCGTTTCATGGTCAGCTTCGTGTTTTGAATCTTGGTAAACCTAGAAAGAACGGAAATGGGTGCAGATCAGTGCTAATTGCCAGGCTCAATATGGGATCTCTAGGGACTAAAGCTCAAACCACCTCACTCCTGCCAGGGGTAACTCAGAAATCCTCTGTTCTTGCATCTGCCCTCAAAAAATGAGATCTCACCCCCTTCATTCATCTTTGCGTGGGGGTGGAGGGAAGTCTGGTCAGCCAATGACTCCTCCATTCCGGTCCCAGAAGTACCTGTGAGAAAGTCTCACAAGTGTCAGCTCATACCTCTATTCTAAGCTGTAGACCCTGACACGAGGCCTCCCATAGGCGTCTCCAATGCAGTGTGTCCAATGTCAGATGTGTCATCTTTACTCTGCAAACCTGTGCTGTCTTCTGTTCCTCATCCACTTAGTGAATAGTCTGTCCCTATGTGCTAGGTTATGCACTGAGCATCAGAGATACAGCCATGAACAGCACAGGTGAGGTCATTCCTCTCCTGGCAAGTTTGTCACTAAGAGACAGGTAACAGGCAAAGGAATAACCAGCGGGCTAGGCTGATGAGGTACAGCCTTGAAAAGAGTATGTGAGGCTGAGAAGGTGGCTCAGTGGTAGAGCGCTTGGCTTGCATGCATGAGGCCCTGGGTTCGATTCCTCAGACCACATAAGCAAAAAGAATAAAAACCAGAAGTGGCGCTGTGGCTCAAGTGGTAGAGCGCTAGCCTTGAGCTGAAGAGCTGAGGGACAGTGCCCAGGCCAAGTTGAGGCCCCACAACCAGACCCCACCCCCACCCCCCTCAAAAAAAAGAGTATGTGACATGAGTTGCAGGCAGTAGGGAGAGCAGCCCCGGCAGCAGAGGTGAGAGTACATGCTACCCCTACACTGAGAACAAGATTTTGCACAGCTACATGGCTAGAACTTTGTGTGTGAACAAAAGGGAAAACAGACTATCTGTAAGTCAGAGTAAGCAGAGTAAGCAGTTCATATTCTATTTTGTGAGAAGTTACTGAAGGACTCTTAATCCGTGTGTGTGTGTGTGTGTGTGTGTCTGTGTGATTATATAAAGACATGGAGGAAGCCCGTGTGTGTGTGTGTGTGTGTGTGTGTGTGTGTGTGTGTGTGTGTGTGTGTGTGTGTGTGTGTGTGTGTGTGTGTGTGTAAAGACATGGAGGAAGCCCATGCAGAAATGTAGGCAAGTACCAGAGGTCAGACTAGAGGTAGAAAAGGGGAAAAAAAGATGGACTCAAATGTTTTTTGTTTTTGTTTTTTGCCAGTTCTGGGGCTTGAACTCAGGGCCTGGGTGCTGTCCCTGAGCTTCTCTGGCCTCCTGGCCTGAAGGTTAGCACTCTACCAGTTGAGCCACAGCACCATGTCCAGCTTTTTTGAGTAGTTTACTGGAGATAAGAGTCTCATGGGGACTTTTCTGCCCAAGCTGGCTTCAAATTGCTCTCCTCAGATCTCAGCATCCTGAGTAGCTAAGATTATAGGCATGAGCCACCAGTATTGGCAAGAGCTCAAATGTTTTTCGGTGGAACTACATGACTTGCTGATAGTTTGGGCAGGTATGGTGAGAAAGAAATCTACAACTAGATCTGAAGCAAAACCGGTAATAGAACCATCATTCAGAAATCTCTTGCTACTTGGCCATTTCCACACTCAATCAGGCATCACTACTTGACTGCACCAGATGGGACCAAGAGCCCTACTCCTTCCCTCCTGCAGGCCTTTTCAGCTCGGCTCAGCCCTCTCTCTCTCTCTCTTTTTTTGGGTCCGGTCGTGGGGCCTGAACTCTGGGCCTGGGCGCTGTTCCTCAGCTCTTCAGCTCAAGGCTAGCGCTCTACCACTTGAGCCACAACACCACTTCCGGCTTTTTTTTTTCTTTTTGCTTATGTGGTGCTGAGGAATCGAACCCAGGGCCTCAGGCATGCAAGGCAAGTACTGAGGCCACCTTCCCAGCCCCCCCCCCCCCCCCCCCCCCGGCCTCTCTTTTTGTTGTTTGTCAGTCCTGGGGCTTAAACTCAGGTCCTGGGCACTGTCCCTAAGCTTCTTTTGCTCAAGATTAGCATCCTACCACTTGAGTCACAGCGCCACTTCCGGCTTTTTCTGTTTGTGTGGTACTGAGGAATCGAACCCAGGCCGTCATGCATGCTAGGCAAGCACTCTACCACTGAGCCACATTCCCAGCCCCATCAGCCCCCTCTCTTTAGGGTCTCAGTGTACTTCCCCTCGACTGCCCTGAACCACTTGCTTTTTTCATCAACTTCCTGGTCTTTCTGGGGCCTCCTGCTTTGGTGAAACTCCAACCCCACATCAGTGCATAAATTCATTTACCTCCCATACTCCTCCATCCTGGGTTCAAAGCAGAAATGCTGGGAAAACAGTAGTTCCCTAGGTCCTCACCCTAGCATACTCCCTGCAGCTCAGCTCCACCCATTTCTTCCAGCCCTGCCAGTGTCCATATCAATAGGGCCAGCCTTCATCTATCCCCCTGAAGCTCAAAAGTCTTTCAAATCTGGTCCTGCCCCTCCCTGCTCTAAGCCCTTCTAAGACTTCCTACTCCCCCAGACCCCCAGGCACAAAAGCTAAAACTCTCCACCTAGAAGGTGCTCAAGACCTCAGACACACAGCATTGCCCCCTATTGTCTCTCCCAGCCTTAAGAGTCTCAATATATGCCATGCATGTTTACATCCTATACTTATTAAAAATACACCTTCACAGGGAGAGAGCAAGGGAAAGGGTGATGTTGTCCAAAAAGAAATGTACTCATTACCTGATTTACGTAACTATAACCCCTCTGTACCTGATTCTGTCTGATTACTCTGTATATCTCCTTTATAATAACAATAAAAATTTAAAAAATAAAGTCAAATAAAATGAATTTAAAAAAAAAACCTTCATCCACACTGGCTTCCTCTGTTAGTTTTGTTGTTTGTTTTTTGGCATCCTGGAGCTAGAACTCAGGGCCTGGGAACTGTCCTTGAGCCTCTCTGTGCTCAAGGCTAGCACTCTACCACTTGAGCCACAGTGCTACTTCCAGCTTTTTCTGTGTATGTAGTATTGAGGAATAGAACCCAGGGCTTCATGCATGCTAGGCAAGCACTCTACCACTGAGCCACATACCCAGCCTGTAGCTTTGGTAAATGCACCACTGTGCCCAAGGTGGGTATAGGACAACTATTTGGTGAATGAGTAATTCTTTTCAGACTAGCAAGTTTCCCCATCACTCCACTCCCTCTTCAGCTCTGGCAGCACTGCCCTCAACACCTGGAGCTGCCTGTCCCCTTACTTATAATGAGCTTTGTGTAAGACAGCAGGGCAAGGAATGGGCATGACCAAACCTGTTCCCACCCTCAGGTTTGATGCAAGTCACAGATAAGTGTTAGGACATCCAAGAAGTCCTCGTTGGATTGCACATACCCTTTAAGCCCTTCTTCCAGCCAACACCAGACACCCAAGAATTCCCTAAAATTGCGACTCCTTCCTCCCATGGCAAAGGGGTTTGGTACATCTTTCTACTACTTGCCCCAAACTGCTCCTTTGATACCCTGGAGCTGTATCCAGTGCCAACTGTCTCATCCTCTCTGCTCCCACAAGGGCAGTAAGACACACAAGTGAGATCTTTGAGGACACAGAGGGGAATGCATTTTACTCAATGGCAATATGAACCCCGACTTTAAATTCTGGTCACCTCTAGGAAATCAGGCCAGGGTTGAGAGA